TCATCCTGCGGTGAAGCTCGTTTCAGGGGAAGCGTAGCCTACTTCTGTAAACCCTTGCTATTATGAAATACAAGTTCCGCGTTAAGCAGTATTGACTGGGTAGGAAAACATTATACAAAGACTGACAGGAACTACTATGTCTTTTTAAATTGAAGCATTGATAATATGCGGAAACAAGGTTTTATTGGTTTGTAAATATATTATTTATTTCATAGGAATGCTGCTAATGCACATCATTGTAATGCTGAGATCGAAATATCCTTCACCTTGCTGTTTTTCACGACTTTGAACCACTCTAGCTTATTGACGGGGAGTTTCAGTGCCTTGATCGTTGCTAAAGACCTCCCAGTCTGCGAGGGTTTTGAGGCCATTTTATGCTAATATGGGAGTCGTAGAGGGAGAAAATGGTAGAAGAATTGGTCATGCATCCGGCCAAAGTTGTATATGGTATTCGTATGGAATATTTCTACTAGCCCAAGTATAAATGCTCGGTCTATCACCTATATCGGCGAACCAACATTTCACGCATAGACCTATTCGGAACCCCATCAGAAAACCCTCGGCCTGCCTGTTACGCTCCTTAAGTGGAGTAGGTTAGAGGAGATGTGTACCTAAGATGAGGTTCACAGTGTTAACTATCCTTAGGAAGTGTGCACACGACGCGACGGGTGGGGTGTATGCACACAACGTGACGGGTGGGCATTTATAAAACGTGGTAGATAAGCAAGATGGGCGTCTAATAGGAGGGCGCGTTGGTTGTCCTTAGGGTGTGTGCCCACAACGTGACGGGTGTGCACATAGTTGGAAAAAATGGCATCGCCCCGGCCTCAGCAGTCAATCTTCCAACATCTAAATTTGCAACCCCATTATCTCAATCCCTCCACCGTGGGATTACAGCTCAATGTCTGGATCAATATGCGTACCACACTGTCGAGATCTCCAAGTATCTATATATATTATTCAAAATGCACCTTCATGCATCAATATCACTCACGCTCATGCAGTAAAAACAAAAATTTCCTATTTGGGACTACTCCGGTGGGTTGTAATAATCAATTATGCACGGACCATATCAGCCCAAGCTACTCTGGTTATGGCCCGTGCATGATAATTCCTGACTCTTCTGTGTGTGTACATACCCCACAAAAACAATTATTTCTGTTTGCACCATGGTTGACTGTGATTTCCATGCTGTCATATATATCTTTTACAGCCATAACTGCAGTTATATACCTACAAGACACTTTCAATTGCGCGAGGCGAGCGGTTGGGATGCAGTCATGATTCAAGAGCCTGAAACAGTTGCTAGAATCACGACAGTCTAGCTGGCAAACCACCGGCTCTCCATCGATATCCGGTCTCACGAAGTCCAGGGTTTTGTCTGAATCGGCTGTGTTGATAGGCATGGTTTTTCCAAGTAGCCATCCAATGATTTTACCTTTTTTATAAGCAATTTGCCCATGGGTACATCCAACTGCCTGAAGACCTAGGCCCTTTCTTGGATATTGTTTGATGCGTGCATGTATTCCAGAGACTTGACTGATGCACTCATAGCGAGGCTCATGGCAGACATCGCATCCACTAACACCTTCCGATGTCGGGTCAGCGGGCCATGGCCAGCTCGTCGGCCACTCCGCCGGCCGGATCCAATCAGAATAGGCGGCTGGATTGTAGATATTTTCTGTGACGGACCGATAGGGCTTCAGATACGAAAGCCAAGAAGGCTCCAGTGACTTTGCTAATTTAGTAGTGATATTGGGATGAGCTTCCTACTGAAATTCAACTTCCAAGCCTTCCTAGCCTCGCACATAGATTTTGTGTGCTCATCATCAAGGAGACGATGGAATGTGGATATGTCTTTCTCATCCATGTCGTGGTAGTCGCTTGACTTGACTTTAAAATTATTGCGATGTGATAAGAATATAAAGCATAAAAGGCTATTGAACTTGCTGTAGATGTGGTTCCATTTTCGATCTTCTGTAAGATGATATTTAAATTGGTTAATTGATAAGATATGCCTAATCTAAGGAAGGAGATACGCACCTCGAAAAGAATGTTGAAAAAGATGTCGAGAAAAAGAAGTAACGTGAAAAGGTTGTAGGTGCTAATTTGTCTACGTGGTAGGAACCCACCCTGTAAGAGACATGTAGCGATCGCAAGAACAATGTAGACAATGGTTCGACCAATCCACAGAAGGCGATAGAGCAGGAAAGACAGAAAGTCGGAGGTATATTTGCCTTTTACCAAGAAGATAATTGTTGGTATAATGTTAGTAAGGGCTAAGGTAACGGCCGTATCGAATTGGGACAATGCATCAAGGCAACCAGCCAATGCTGTAGTGATCCGACGACAAGGGAGTATAGATCTCACCGGGTGTGAAGTTGGTGACACTGACTGAATTCATGCGCTTGGGAACTAGGGTAGCATTCCTACAAGATGGTATAATGGGTCTATAGGTGTGGGCTATCCGACTGCTATCACAAAATTCCTCTATTTTTACTTTTGTCTCATTTGAAGAATGAGACAAAAACAAGCCTGGTCCTGCATCCCCTTATCCTAATGTTGAGCAGTTATTTGTGGTTGCGTTTACATGCCTTTGTAATAGTCCAAGATGGGTGATATAACAGTCAACTTTAATGTTATATATAACCATAGGACATAATACATATTGCTCTACTTAGTCGAAGAAGTCATTACACTAGCAGAAAAAGATATATAAAGATTTTATAAACTATCTTAAATTTATCCAATGTCTTTCTATATTGCGTTACCGTTTTTTAATGGTTATACAACTGTTATCGAAATTAAAGTCTCCCCAGACGTAAAGATCCAGTTACAAAATCCACCCTATTAGGTTGATGTTTGATACATCCCATGCCACCCAATAGAAGAAAAGACGGTTTCTGAGCAAAGCCAGCAGGTTTTGCGAAGGTGTTCAGCGAATTTATGACACATATATCGTTGCACTCCGATGGCAGTTTGACAAGAATTGGTACGGAGGACAATCTAATCGTCGTCCAGAACTAACGTGGAGTAGCTGCAAATATCAGCCCCCGAGGCCCGACTCCAGCCTCACATGCCACCAAAAGACGCAACTGGGCTTTGATTGGCTTATTGGAGGCTCCAAAGGCACCGGCCTGAGCAATAGGAAAAGATCTGCGGATGATACACCACTGCGGCCCCGAAACACTTCGCATATCATTCGTGGCAAGGCAGTTAACGATGCGGTGCCTCCGTCGGCGGGTACTTCTCCGATACGTTGTAAGAAGCGCCTTCGCACCGATAACAACGTCCAAGTCGCGCCGGTTCAACCCTTCGGGAGTAATTGGGGCGACTGTTCTAAAACTACGATACGGTTACGAACCACCTTCACCGATAAATAGGGCAAATACATTATTTGATTCTAACTAGGAACAACTTCGTCGGGACATGTTCTGTGACTGTATATACGCAGACCAGTGCCGTGCACCGGCAATCCAATATCGGACACCTCCAGGCTTGGCTATGCTATCAATGACCGCCATCTGTTTTCTGGAACTATCTAGAGTGTCGCTTGGGCCCTGGCGACCTAATACGTCTTATAGCACACGTAATAGACCACGTGATCCTTGGTATTCGTCTAGTTGAACGGTTGTTATCCCCCTGAACTTAGCCGCCGATAAGCTGGTCTGTAGTAGGTGACTACTAGGCCTGCGGCTGGCAAATTGGCACTGGCTTATATATCCGCGTATTAGGGTTATATTAATTTCAGGGTAATAATAGATTAAAGCTTGTTAAGGACATTTATTATATTATTTATCAAAGATTTTGGAAAACTTTTAATAACTTAAATTAATAGCTGAAGATCGGATATAAAAAACGAAATCCAATAAATATTCCAGTATTATGCCCCGAACTTTGTAGAGGATTAAATTGCGATATATCAAAAATCAACGCGAGGAGTACATACTGGGAGAGCCGGTGGATGAGCAGGCGGTTGGGGACGGTTACAACCCGGAAACGAGGGCAGGCAATATCACAGAGCATTTTAGAGACCACATCGCCAAGGGCAAGGGCAAGCAGAATACCATTGGTAGCCATCCTTAGGAGGTTTACCCTTTTACATTTCAGGTACGCCGTCATCCACCATGCATACCATAAAGCCTCCCGAAGGTAGTAGACCTTGGGCCTGGTCGGAGAAGGCCATATATCAGGACCTAACGGGCAAGAACTTCGCCTTTTCTCATTGAGTCTGACACGAGCAAGTTTTTTCTTCTTCTTTCTTTCTTGTCACTCTTTAATTTCTTGGTGTATATCGTATTATAGAAAGATATTGAAATAGATACGAAAATAGAATGAGTAAGCGTGTATCGCCAATCCCCTTTACCCCGCGAAGCAACGCAAAAGTCGGTGGATCTATTCTCTTTTACCTTTGGTCACGGATGAAGCTTGGAATAAACGACATATAACATGCCATACGAAACTATGCAACCTAAAGTCGATTATAATATATATTTACTATCCGTTCTTAAATTTATTTCGCTTCGACTATAGATTTAATTGAGATGGCAAGGTAGAATCATATCTCTTTAATTCTTTCGGCCTGAGACCAACCTGCTGCCGTACTCCCAGCGATAATACCCGTCATAACTGCAGGCACCCCTAATACGGGATTTGACCGCGATTTGGAGTCTGGCGTCGGTACTGGCAAGGGGATGTTGGAGCCGACTTCATTCGTCGGAGTCTTTGGCAAGACGTATACATGCGGAACCACATATTATCCTTCAGCTAATATTTGGCCACGGAGGCAAGCATAAAAGTGTTTTATATAAAAAATATTTAAAAACTCGAAACAGTCTTATTACACGAATCCTTTATAACCTATAAGTATAAAAGCCTAAACACCTATCTTAATTAGCGTTCAACAGTATATATAATCAGCTACGGAAATGGGTGCACGCTCCACATGTCACCCTCCAACTCCTCGTAAACTCCTTATCGCAAAATCGAAGCGAGACGGGTTAGCTGATAAATAGAGTTAATTGGAAATCGGGAAACTCCGGGAAGGCTTCTATCCCTTTCTCGCTTTCACTGTCCCGGCGTGTCTCGCTCCCTGTCTTCCCGATCGAGTTCATCTTTTCCATTAGCTGCAAGAGTCTCTTATCTTCAGGCGTATAATTCCTCGCGTTGGGGTGGCTCTTCTATAGGGAACCGTTAGCAGTCTATCAGATATTAGTAGGCAGCCGCTTTCGGACCTTTTCTTCAATCTCCTCGCGAAAGAATCCTCCTGTTTCGTACGAGACGAACTCGTTTTTTTCGATATAATTCACGTATAACCCCAACTCGACGCCTCGTAGATTTCCATACTTGTAGATCTTACTTAACAAGCCTTCGAGGTTTCTCCTAAGCATCTTCTTATGCCTTTTATCGGATAACTTTTGGACAGCCATAATAACGGTTATGCTATCGCTTAATAATTATATCGAACATAAGTTGACAAGATAAAATGTTTTCCTTATTGAGTTGATATTATTATAATTATACATTTTAAA